CAGTAGCTTTAATTGATTATCAAACTCTATGGTCCAACATTTTCCTACTTTAGACTAGAGCATTGTTTGATAATCCACGAAAACTACTGATTTGGGCATGATTTCCGGATTTTTACCCAATTTTCTGTTTTTCCTCACCTTATTTTAACCTCTTAGCGTAAGGTCCAATTATTCGAGTTTTTACGGTACAACTATTAAGGAAACAGAAGCGAAGCTTCCTGGGAACAAGGAACTCTTCCCGGTGTTATCTTTGTGACAGTTGTTGGTGTTTCTAGGAGGCATCCGAGAAGTAATTTTCCTTGCCCCACACCTAGTTTCGGGACTGCAATTCATCGGTATTGTCTTGCACACATCTTATGTACTAGTACACCCATGACGGATAAAGCTGTGGGCTTCATTGTGGCACGGCAGAGCTCAATAAACCAGTTTACAAAAGCCAACGCAGAATTGAGGGTACGGAAAGCGGTGGTGCCGCGCTACCTGATTCAAGGAGTGTAGTTACCTTACTTGGAACTTTCCGCATTGCCCCCCCCCCCAGCTACCAATGCCGCTCGGGGTAGAAGCAAAATAATCGCGGCCCCTATGGACTACAGGAAATGGCCTAATTCATTTGCAGGAAAAAACGGTGTTTTCTTGTTCCGTGCCACTCGGAAGGGACCTATCATATAATATAATAACCAAAACTCAATAACACCAAACCAGACTGTGATCCCTCACATCTCTCTCCCACCCCAGGAACCCACGAATCCATTCCTCAGGTTTTTCCACGCACCTAACCAGCAGAGCGCCAACCCACCTTGGAATCGCAGTGGCTTGTTTCCACCTCCTCACTCGCTGGAGCCCGTTCAAAGCCGAATTCCACTTTTGCGACCACAGAAAGCTCTGTGTACACCACTGTTCAACCACGTACAGAAGCCCAATGCCAGAGAACACACATGTGATTAGTGTACCAAGAAACCAGCTGATCTCAACGTTGTAGGACTTGTAGTATTGCACACTCTCAAAGTCCATGTACCCTCCGGCGCCGCCCAACATGCTGGACTTGCAATAGCAGTTGTTGTAGATCCCAAAAGTCTGCGCGATGATGATGCATACGAGCAAACAGGAGTTTATGAATTCCCAGAAGCACAGGAACCACCCTACTACCCTCCGTTTCGTTCGCGAGTGTAAGACTGCCCATGCGGCCAGTTCCAAGAGCAGGCAGCCCGATGCGTTGAGACCAAAGATCATATACCCTCCGGAGCGGCAGCCCAGGCCGACGGTAGGCGTGAAGTAGCTAACAATGAAGGCGCCCATACTGCAGGAGAAGACCATCGTGAAGGCAGCTGCCATCTGCCATCCTTGGCTGCGGTCGAACCTCATGAGGGGTGAGTAGGTGCTTGCAGTGAGCCGATTAACGTTCTCGGTTCTAGATAGCCAACCCCGTCCAATATTGGGCATAGTCTCCAGCGTGCGGAGGATTGAGTAGGCCGCACCGGAATGCCACCGCACACGGCCTTGGCCGGCAAACTTTCCGAAGAAATTTGATTTGGCTCCCCCAAAGACCCTATGGATCTCCGGTTCCTCCATGGTGGCCAGTACGAGAGCGTGCAACTTGTCGCGGACGTACCCGGCATCCATTGGATTTCTGTCAACGATTGTTGCAGCGACGAGAACCGGGAGCCAGCACACTAGCAGGCCCAGCGCGAGGTTATGAGCAGTTGAGTTCTCTCCAAGATCCCCGAAGGCTTTGTGTATTGAGATCGCCAATGCTACCAGAAACCAGGCTAGTGATGCTAGGACTTGGACAGCTCCCCGACGGCGTTCCCGGCGGATACTAGTAGTGACCCCCTCCCTCGCCTCTTGGATCTTTGGCCTCCCATCGAACAGGGCTGTGCGAAGGATTTCCTCCATGCGGTGTTCTTCTAGCTGTGGACAGAGCTCGTACTGATTAATCACGCTGAGGAGGTATAAAGAGTCTCTCAATTTGGCAAAACTGCTTTCTGGTCCTGGGCGATCGTTTATCTGGACGCTCATGTCCACCAAAATAGCGCACTTCCTGGTAACCTTCATGTTCCAGAAAATGTACATCATGGAAGCGATCGGCGAGCCCACCCAGCGGAACAAAACTAATATGTTTTTTTTGAAGTCATTGTTCCAGAAGGGGGCCTGGAGAACTAGACTCGCTAGAGGGAGTACCCAGGTCGTGATTGTATCGGAAGCCTTTTGCCAGCTGTAGAAATCTGGTGTGCTGCCGCAGTGCTTCTCGCAGGCGCCAAATGTTATGAGGAGTGCCTGATATTCGGTGTTTTTCCCCTGACCTAGTGGGCCTTTTACAGGACCCGCGTAGATATCCTCAAATGGAAGGGTATTTTTTCCGGCTAATTCCTTGACTCGTGCGCCGCATTTTGTAAAGTTTGTTTTCGCAGTCGCTCCGAGCGGGGTCGAAACCAGAAGGAGGAGGAATAATATGAATCGTGGACGCTTTACTGAAGGGACTAGTCTTAATAGTGGGTGAGGGGCGTTTGCTTTGGGGTGTTTGGGTCCCCGATATTCGTTTACCTGCATATATATTAGTTTTGGTTGGGCTCTCTAGGAAGGAAGCCTAAGCCTGAATGGGGGTGGCAGATATCTGTACTCACTCTTGGGTGCCGAGCCTGGCACGGTCCTAGATCTTCCATCCTTCAGAACTGAATCCTTCTAACGGCCTTGAACCGTATGCACTCTAAGGATCTATCCAGACCCTAAATGAGAACAACTCCACCAATCACTCTTGGCTAGGTTTCGCTTTTCCTAGAAAAATGTCAATGTACCGGAGTCTGTTGAGCCTCACTTAAACGGTAGTAAGCCCTCAGTGATCGCACTATGCGGGAGCGCTCGTGATGAAATGGTAAGGGAGATGCTTACAACCCTTTCTTGTGGGGAGGGAATCTGCAAATTTATAAACTTCCAGTTTGTGGTACTCCCGCACTTGAGGTTGCGCGCGAGGTGTTGGTTCCATTCTACAGTAGATCCAAATCTGGTACCAGCATCTCAAGTCAATGGCGCAGCATTTCCCTCATGAGACCCGCCAATGAGCCAACTCGCTCCTCCCCGATATCCCAAACCGGGGGCCTCAATCGCCCATCGTGTAGAGCACAAGCAGAGTCGTAGCGCCTCATCGCCCTCTTCATCCCATAACTCCTGGTACTAGTAAAAGGGAGACTCTTGTCTGCTGAGTTACACCCGAGCTCTCTGAGTCAAGGGCGGTGTTCGCAAAGGGGCTGTCCTCCTATCCTTAACGTATAACACGGACGGACTCTGAATCATGTCTGTCCGCCCAGCGAGGATTTCTCCTGGAGCTCTTTGTTGTAGGAGGCGGGTGACCACGGGACGTGCCAGAGGGTGGCGAAACGTAATGGAATGTGCGGCCGAATAAGTCCGCCCGGCAATAATGTCGGGGAAGCCTTCTGGGGGAGCCTGTCCGGGGGCGCTGTTAGGCTTGAATTGTTAGTTCGCCAGCATCGGTTCACGAGATCTATGGTAGCAAATAAACCCCTAATTACTGTAACACTGTTCACATACGGTAGTACGAGTAAAAGCAGGTACAAGACCTACGGTAGCCGTCAATCTTAAGTCAAGAAACACATCGACAGACACCCCTGAAAATATCACAATAGAGGAGCGTGAAAAAGAAAAAAACATAAAATCCCAAGCGCCACGGCCCACATGAATACCTTGACCCACAAGGCTCGCTTGGCATTTTCTCCACCCCTCGTCTCATCACTCTTTGTCATTCGTCCAAATTTGTTGGCCCATAATCGGCCCCCGTAATCCTCTGCAGATCCCCATAGCACACTTCCGATCCCAGCGGATCCCTATAGATCCAGACCTATGCCTGCAATTTTTGGAGCAAAATCTGCCACCGGCTACTAACCCCTACTGTCCTTGTACTCGAGTACTAGGACTACAAAGTAATATCACGCATTGTCCGGCCCACGATGCTCCCCCGGGCTTGCAGTTCCCATAGCTGGGGAACAGGACGAACCCTTGGTGGTAGCCCCACCTGGTCTGGTCTCCTTGCCAGCCTCCCCATGGGGTGTAATTGGCCGCCAGGGCCCCTACACTGTTGCCAGCCCTGGTCAAGGGAGAGCGGGAGGGCCTAAGCTGCTCACAGGGCCAGAACAGGAAGCTCTTTTGGTTTCTTGGATTAACAGCCGCAACTCTGATCGCCTTTGAAAGCCCTAAGGGCATTAACCTTCTCCTTTCCATCCAGTTGGTGACTTGAATCCACCCCTCCGGCTTTCCATCACGCTTCATTCCAAGATCCTGACCTGAACCCACTCTATGCCAACTTTTCCCACGATGACATCAGACCTCGAGTCATGGTTTCTCCCTTGGTTCTGGCTCAGTTTACTCGTGCCGGGGAAGAAGTATTCGAAAATACGAGTCGGGGGTTTGTATGGGCGCTCATACATGCACGGATTTTTTGCCATATATTTTGCTAATCCCTGTTTAATCCTGCTTCTGAATACTTCTTGCCTAGGACGAGTAACACCAGGGTACATCACTTCACTTCTTTCCTTCCCTTTCCCTGGCCCACTAAAGATGTTTTTGCTTTTGACTACCAAGGGCACGGTCGCGCAAATGCTCATTAGAATTCTTTGTATCTCTTTCTACAGGAGACAGCTCTTGGTAGTCTGCGTTTTCAACTACTCTATTCGACCCCACGAACCTTGGCCCCCTTCACCAAATTCTAAGAGCGTAGGGCTATGGCGCCTGCTGCTGTATTTATGGAGGGAAGCAACAAGTAAGGAGTGCGAAATATTGGATTGTAAGAGGCGTGAAATACTGATTCTGAGTGACAATTGAGGGGAAAATCTCTTCAGTATGATATCACCGTGCAATAAGGAAGGTTCCCTTATTGATGGGCTAACCGGTACACTTTGGCGTGGCGCCTAGCCACTTTTCTCCAATTGGCGCCATCGTAGTGAACCTATTCTCGTATAATGAGTAGTCGCATGTACTCGTATGATACTGTACGAGTACGGTACTGTAAGTGACAAGCCTTCGGTGGCGTATGTGGCGCTATTGGATATATTTTAAAGGGCTTGAGTGCTCATGAACAAGAAAAATATGCTAGGAAATTGGAATCTCCCTTCTCGGTTACGCAAGAAGCGTAGCTCTGACCAAACAAAAGGAGAATGCGAAGGGTCTTGCTAGGAGAGGCGTATCCACCGTCCCAATTGATTTTTCTAGGGTTTGGGCGTTCGCACCCCCCGTATGGGGATCACCCCATTGGGAATCTATGAACACTGTCAATACCAGTGATAAGAGAGCTGGGCCCTCATGCTTTAAATCACCACCTAGGTCATGTTTTATTTCCCATCGAGCATGCGGTTAGGTGATCAGCACTTATAGGGCATAAGTTCCAGTGCTGCTTAGAGTCGTTACCCGTTGCCATAGGGCATCGGGCGTGGGGATTTGATTCTTTCGCCCCCTATCCCATCGGGCGTGTTGTCGCCTGTCGGAGGTTCATGAGATATTATGAGAGTTCTGGATTGATGCGAAACACGGAGGATTACCATCTGTCATGATGGTATAGTTCTTTAGTATTTGCGGTGTTTCTTTTGGTTTCCGAAATTATTAGCAGTTTGGAGATATATATCTCCCGTTTTGTCTCCAGCGAGCATCTCCATCACCATCATCAATCATCAGACAGTTATCTATCATTGATCGCCCATTTCTTCACCGTACCTCTACCCCCCGCTGTGCCGCACTGGGTCTGTCGTGATTGGGTTTTTGCTGCTTCATCCCTTAGTACCGGTACATTTCCCCAGGTTCCGGTGGCCGGAATTGTGTTGGAGGGTGGGGGAAGTTTGTTATCAGCCCCTTTATCCATCCCGCGCGGACGCAACATTACCCCTTATTACGCCACAAACGACTCACCATTTCTTGGATCACACAGATGCAGCATGGGATTGCAACCGAGCACAAATACTGCCGGTAGTATCAACCGCAAAACATTCGTACTCTCCGCGACTATCGCAAAAGGAACCTTCTTCCATAGCATAAAGAGAAATGGAAGTAAAATAAATAATACTAAGTCTGCGAGCCATTTCAATTTCTGCGGACCCTGGATCTATCCTTCATAGAATCAAGCGGTTGATCCCAACCAGTCGGTTCTGGCCTATTCCATTCCTCTTGGACAACTTGATTCGTCCCCCTTCCTCGGGTTCCAGGGGAGTGGCCCCTTGCGCTAAGTTAATGCTTAAGAGGCCGCCGTGGACTCTTTGTGGGGTTCAGGTTGTGTTGAAGTGGGTCCCGGGCGGCGCGGAATACCGTACCCAGCTCTAGCTTTTGCCTCGCTCTGTGAGACATCGCATTCTACTTGTACGAGTACTGTCGCCACTCTAGTCCTGGTTGGGGTTTTGCGCCCATAAGTTAGTGAGTACTCGAGTGCTCGAGTACAAGTAGGTGGTGGTAGTGGTGGAACCCGCGCTATTGATGGCTTTTGATGGCTTTTGGCGCCGGGATCATACTAAGTTAGTGCTCGTGTACAAATACTACCCCTGGTCACACGTGCGGCCCAGGCTGTCACCAAGCCCGGGATGGCGGGACCGTGATAGTCGTACTACCGTAGTACGGTACTTGTACCGGTACTCGTACTTGTTGCAAATGATGTAAGCCTAGGATCACCTCGCTTATCGGTACTCGTGTACTGTACCTGTGGCAGCGATTGCTTAACGGAGTTGCAACTCCCCCAAATTCAGGCGGCAGGGGTACGAGTACTAGTACTGGATCCGATTAGCGATGCTCATTCCTCTTTCGTGTCGTCTCGGCTGGGGGCCGGTTTTACGGTGCTTCCCCTCGCGTAGGCGAGAGCGGAAATTCCGCTTGCACGCTTACTTCTGGCAATCTACTCACTAGGGTAGGAAAATGTTGGCTTGTTGCGAGCGAAGGGCGCACAGCACGGGTTTGAGCTACGCGGAATTTCGCGAAGCTGAAAAAGCTCAAATGATAAGTCGATAGGGGATATCTCAAGGGATGCGAGTTTAGTCCCCTCAGCATTTGTACTCTACGATATCAGGATTCAACCCGCCCCCGGATGTCTCAAAGACATAACACGGCAAGAGCCAAGTGTCCCACAGCAAATTACCACGTGGTGGCAGCACGACGCCACAGCATAGTGATGTCGTCGGTTACCAATCGGTTCACTTTAACAGGCATCTTTGCCGAGAATACCCTAAATCTGTTCGGGTTACTGTACTTCTCTTGAAATTCCCCTGCTCTTAGCCGACAACTTATTCGGCATCCGAAAATGGTTCCTGTAGTCGATGGAATTAATGAGGAGCTGGGTTTAAGTAGGTAAATCTACCTGTAGAGTTTTTGCCCCTAGTCTGCTGTTATATTTGGCCGTGGCACAGGCCCATTTTCCACGAAGCGCCTTGTTACAAGTACCAAAGGCGGGAGAAACAACGGGCTGGGCCTAGTACCAGTACAACCGTGATACACTACTTTCAGTGCGCCCTCGCGCCCAATCAGCTAGTACTGTAAAGCGGGTTTGGCGGGAAAATATACGCTTTCGA